GAAGCAATAATTAATAGTTTCCCCACTAGTTTATGGAAATTACCTTCGATCGTGCCGACGTAGGAGTGCACTGGGTCGAAGGAAATGGGCCCATTGGTTCCCTCGAATACAGCGTCTTCGGCGAAGATCCTGGTGTCTCGGGTGAGCCGCATGGTGAATGTTCTGGGTGAAAGTCAATTTCTCATTCAGTTTTTTAATTGTCATTATGGTGTTTTCACTTAATTAGCGTTATATTTTCCTGTCCCACTCAGAATATCACAATTGTATCATAAATTCGTGAATTAATCTATTATCTTTTGATTCGTGTCTGAATACTCGTGAGAATGAACATTCAATATGAATGAAATCAAATTATTGAATGCGCTGACTCTCAATTGTCAGTTCAATATTCATTATCATACATGACACGCACCATTGAGAATCTTTTAATCGATGTAAATATTAGATTTACAGTCAATATATTTGATTAACATGATTATAAATATTCATAATGGAATAATAAATCAGCCCATCCCGCTGAATTTTCATTGACAACTAATGGTAAAAATGAGATGAACCGTAATTCATTTTTGATAAATGAAGTGATAAATAAAGTGTATGAGTTGGACAGAGTTTGAGCCATGAAAAAAAAATGGAAGAGGATGACTTAGTTCTTAAAAAATGAATTAATATTCAGCAGCTCCGGGGCTGAGGGTTCGAATTCAATGAGTTTTATCTCAGCTAAAAGTGGAGAAAAAATTTTCCAGAATGGGGCGAAGTTTATGAAATTCTCCCCAGTGGATTCAAAGTTATTGAAGACTAGAAGTTGATTTTACTTTGCTCTTATCCAACCCAATTTCGTACTATTTTGCAAACATCTCCGGAGTAAAAACCTCCAGGAGAATCTCGGAAAAGTGCTTTAAAGCTCACTAGGTAATTCCCTGTAGCTCGTCATCTTCCTTAATTACCTCTCTTCCGAAATCGTTGCAACCTAAAAATAGCCGTGAAAATTGGATGAAACTCCAAGGACATTTGCGTCAATGAAGCCGTAGAGCCATCGACAATGGCTTCATCGTTTCATTTTTCTCTTTTTTACATTCACAACCCGCGTGACCTACATTAGCTATCATTTAAAACAAGAAAATTTCCAGGTGCATAGAGAAATATCCTTGGATCCCCTTGAAACCACTTGTCTCGAGTGCTCCGAGGCCGATTGCATACGATCAATTTTGGAATTGCGAATATTTAACTTTCAATTTTTCCTTCAAACATTTCCGCAGCAAATTTACAATAGATCCAGAGCAAAATTTCCATTTCATACGTAGCTTTCGTCATTAATTCA